AACAGAAAGAAGGCAGAAAGTCAAGTATGCGATGAGGCCAAGAAGCCAAAACACCAAGAAACCCAGCCAAGAAGCCCAACAAGCAAGAAGCCAAAAAAAAAAACAGAAAGTTAAGCAAGCAAAGAAGCCAACGAGCCGAACAGCCAAAAAGCCAGCAAAGCGACAAAACAGGGGAGAAACAAACAACAAAGGACAAGAAGCCCAGAAACCCAAAGCTAAGCAGGAAAATACCGCGAGAGCTCGATTTCGGGAAAAAAAGTGAGAACGTCCGAGGCAAGAGCTCGATTCCAAAAAAAAAAGTGAGGTTGCTCCGCACGGGAGCTACATTTCGACGCCCAAATTTCACGACGCTCCGAGGGAGAGCTCGGTTTGGAGACAAAATGTGATCGCGCTCCACATTGAGAGCTCGATTTCGAGAGAAAATGTGAGGTCGCCTCACACGAGAGCTCCGTTTCGAGGCCAAAATATAAATAGCCACCCTTAAAAAAGTCACCCCCCTCCCAAAAGGAGTGCCCAAAAATAGACCGCCGCGAGATTTGTGTCTGGAGATCATGGACTGGGAATCTTGGAGATGGAATACCATAACGCAGGGCAGGACAGGAGTCGAAACCAGCTGTACCAATCGCAAGCCCGATCTGGATGCAGCATCTGCATGCAGGCCTCGTACCTAACCAGCAGGGACCAAGTGCCCAGTGCAGAAAGAAAACAATCAAGGAAAGACTTATACAATGCTTGCAAATTCTCAAATCACCCTGAACTCTGACATGAAGGCCTAAAGCGAGCAACTGCAACACCCTCTTCCCAGCCCTGAATGGCGCAGGCTGCGGCTGCTTACGCTTAAGCTCTTGCGCTCGTAGTCTCTAACCTTAGACCCACTGACTTCGACTACCCTCGCGAGAAAGACAGCACATGACAACAGCAACCCAACATCAATTGCACATAATTGCACTACGTCATCTCATGTTTTCCTTGTGGCCCAGCCTGCAATGATGCTCTTGGCTTAACATGAGCAGCTAGCACAAACAAGAGCAGGGTTGGGACCACCTCCAAACAGTGTCAACAGGCCTTGATATCTTACGATTACCAGGAGTGAGGAACCGAACTTATCCGTCCGGATTTTTTTGCTTCCGACTACACTTCACATTCCGTCCAAGCCAGGCCCCCAAAACTATTCATCTCCAACTTTGAGCTATGTCAGCAACAAACCCGTGCAACAAGTCCACTAACCTGTCCTCTCAAGCGTGGTGAGCCCAGCCAAGTCCAGCGCGCGTGCGGCAGAATCCTCACAAAAATCATGAGAGCAACAGACGGATGTGACGTGATGTGACGCTCTAACGGCATTCTAACCAAAATAGCACAACATAGCTGTAATCGGGTCCCAGCTGCGTACTCGGTGCTTTCCCAGACAATTACGCTGCTAACGTTGCAGACATCCCTCAAGTGCTTGCAATTGCCGGGAGAGGCAATGCAATCGCGTTCAGATTTCAGACCATCAAGGTCTCTGGCGTTCTCCAGCTCATGGAATCGTTTCGTCAAATCTATATCATGGGGGTTTTGGAGCTGTGCACACGAGGCTTGCAAAAGACACAAACACATTTCCGTCTGCTCACATACAATTCAGAATCATGACATTGACCCGCGCCCGCTCCAGAGGAAAACAACGCAACACCGGCAACACCAAGTAACGCTGTTTTTCTTAGGGGGCGAGCAGCTATCGGGGTTGGAGTGGGGTCATTAAGTTGGGTAGATAACCTGGTTACAGGTGTTCACTGAGCAAGTCCCAGGCTCCTGTCGAAACTGCGGGTCGAAGAGGTTAGTGTCCTGAAAAGGTCACGGAGAAGACAAGAATCATGACTTAGCGCTTCTCTGTTGCCCTTGCGTACTGGAGGGTGCGAGGCTCTAGTGGCTTTTTAAGGGATAGTAAATTTCAACTTTGGAAGGTGCCGGGTCATTGCTGCCTGAATCTCTTCCATTTCAACTGCGGTACGCTCCATCTTCCTAGTGAAGCAGACCGTCACCGTCTCAGCATATCCATCCATGAGGCGCTCCTCCCTCTGGAAGGAGTTTCTTGCGGCCTTGCTCTCCTGCATCAGAAAGAAAACTGCTCCATATCAGGCCGAACAAATCCATGCATGCAGGACAGAAAACTTCCTTGGAGTTTGGCTTCGCCGGAATTGCGCACAGGGATGCTGCTAAACAGAGAAGAAGCTTATCCCAAGCCTCCGATGCAAGCGCAATGGATGGGTTCCACGTTGTCAGCTGCTCCATGGAAGGGAGCTTGAGCGCATATGCTGGTTGTGCGTAGCCTTGGCACTCGAACTTGGCATCTCCCCACAGCTTGGCAGCATGTCCCATGCTGAGAATGCACCGCTTGTTGCATGCAGCAGAGAAATATCGCTGCTGCCCGTGATTTCTGCTTCAAGTAATGCTTCTGGCTGCAAACTGGAGTGACCTGCTTGCCACATGGTTAGCCAAAGTACTTGCAAAGTACGTCAACTCGTCGCCATAGAAAGGCTCCTGCTGCAACACGATTAGACCTCAAGCAGAGAAGCTGACATCAGTGTCAAAACCAAGCCTTTAACCAACCTTTGGCTGTTTGTCTATTGAAAGATTGGAATGTGGGATACTGGGGTATCAAAAGGCGCGGTCCTCTGGCTCCATTCTGGTCTGTGTATCGATCCTGCCACCTGCTCCAGCTTGGGGAGACAAATCCGCAGGTCAGGAGCGGTAGCTGGGTAGCTCTTTAGCATCGTCACGGGCAGAGCAGTCGGCATCACATGCACAAATGATGGAAAACAACACGGTCAACATGATGCAGCATGACAGTAGGAACACCAGGTGGGGTTTATAGAGCCAAAGCAGAAGTCTCGGAAAACAACATAGTTCATCTCGTGTCTGCAGCCTGTAAGCGTATGATAGAACCTCCAGACCGCATGGCTACAGGCTGGCTGTGTCCCAGCACCGCCCGAACATTCTAAATTACAGGGTCTGATCTTTGTTTGAGGAGTTCAGGGATCCAGCCTGTGCAAGGACTATTTATCTGCCTTCCTATACACAATAGAAATCAAAGCAAACGTCGGCACCTCGATTCCTTTCCTTTCACTGGCACGTGCGCAACACAAATGTAAGGCAAGATTCTTGATTTTTCTATGTGAAGTTTCCTTGCCAGGCAAGCTCTTTGTCTAGCACTTGACTTCTGGAGGACATGTGACTGCCGATTTGAGATCCATCTCAATGTTACCTCTCTCCCGCCTCATGATAAGCTTATCCAGATTCATAGCTACATTATGGTGCGCGCCCCTTCATGCGAAATGAATTGATTGAATTGCTCCGTGGTTCTTTGCTGCCCTCGGAGCAGCTGACAGTCAGAATTGTTTGGCACCATCACTAAGGTTTGGTGTGGGAGTATAAGCGCAACAAAATTACATGTTGCTTTAGCTAAACAATGACCAGTTGATGAAAGAAATCAAATTGAAAACAATCAGCTGCTTCCCTCTGACTCCTCTTACACACTTTCGCGTCGCATGACTCCTTTTGCTTTCAAATCCTGTTAAGACCGGATGACATCATAATCCCACACGCTTAACTGCTTACAACTGCAACTTGCAATGGACGGAGACGCTCGCTTCATAGAGCCTTTGACCCTAAACATGAGGTTACTTTTGTAAACACCAGCCGCCTTGAAGCTTACATGCGCGGGGACCGCGCAACAGCTGCAACTTCTTGTACACAGCCCGGTCCACAAGGTCTGGAGCACAAAGCAGTATGAGACTGGAAAATCACATCCAGCTGTGGCCGTGGGCTTGGCTGACTCGGCTTCAGCATTCTCGTGGGGCTACTCTTTGGTCTTGGGTCGAGGGCCTAGGGCTGTATGACGATGGTGATCGAGCTTTCGGCAGGATCTTGGCTGGCGTTGCCATAATAAAGCCATGTTTGCTTATTAGCGCGCTCAAAGGGCAAAGCTAGCACCTGGTTCTGTCCTCGCCAATCTTTTCAAACTGCTAAGCCTACAGGCCTCACGGGAAGCGCATGCCAGAAACCCTGAAATCTCAACCTGTGGGATGCGCGCGATCTAGCATTTTAAGCTGGAGGCCTACAGCGGCGCACACGACATAAAATGTTGAGACCTAAGCAGAGGACACACGAACTCTGAAGTTTGAATGGCACATGACGAAACAAAGAACCAAGCTCTACATACAAGGCACGAGCTCGTCGCTCCCAATTGGTTTGTCTGGATCAGTCCGGGATGCTTCTGAAGAGGTACTGCCGTTCCGCGCCATCCAATTCGATGAACGTGGCCTTCTGAGGAGTGGGCGTGTTATCGCACCAGGGCTTCGGACCATTTGCTGGCTATGCTTGGGGTACATGTTGTGCGGGGCCTAGGGTTGAAGGTCAAAGGCCTACTTCACAGCCACTCTGCACTTGCTGAACGATCGAGACGTCAGCTCAACTTTTGCCATCTGTTTTTTGTGCTACATTGTCTGGTTCCATCGTTACGGTTCCCATCCAGCTTTGGTCACCAAGCGGTCACCACGTAGTCACAACATGATCACTATGCGGTCACTGGGATAACTTGTTAACAACCTTGGAGATGAGCATGAGTATAACAAATACGAAGCAAGCATGAAGCAGAGATGAAGCACATCTTGTCGAGAAGCCAGCTCCTCTCAAAAAATCAGAGAACAAAACGCGAATGACTGCCGCATTTTTCGGATATAGCAAATTTGGCACAAACCTTTCTGAGAGAAGTGCTGCGACATGGATGCTGACAAGGAGAGCGAACAACTCATTCTTAAACAGAAGGCCTGAGTCTTCCTTTGCCATATTATAAAAACCAGCTACAAGGCATGACTACGATAGCACCAAACAGTGAGAGGTTTTGGGGAAGACTTACGTCCTGCACCAACGCAATTTTGGCAGATCTGGCACTTAAACTGAAAACCCTGTTTGAGTGGCCTTGAAAGCAACATTTTGAGCACCGGACTGGGTGCATGTTCGCATTTCCCACAAATATTAGGATCCTTATCATGGGACTATCCCCTTGCCTGCGCGGCGCGCAGCAGGCTGGGCATGTACCTCGGAGGCTGAGGGAATCTTGCAACCCATTCTTGTTTTTGGAAAAACCTTTTAGGGATAACCTAGGCCTAGTTCATGGCAACAGAGCAGGGAAAGAACAGCTAGCCTTGTTTGCAGAAACACCTGTAACAGCTGTTTCTTGAAACGGTGGGGTGTTTGGCAGAACTTGGAATGACTAGTAATTTTCTGGACTAGTGTTTGTTCTGAGAGCAATGCTCCGGTCCATAAAGGCATGCGACAGTATAGTTGTAGCAAGAGCGGAAAACAAGTCAACATTCCATGTGTTGCAAAGCCCCGTTCCTGAACCTTCCAGAAATCATAAGGTCTGCTTGTTTGCGGCTTCTTGCGTCAAGGCCACTGCTTGAATAATGTACAGTCTTACACATTACAAAGCAGCCGAACGAAAGCAGCCGAAAGTCTCATTCTGGTGTGCATAGTTGGCAAACTGAATCTGAGGGAACCTTGGCTGATGACGGAGCTGGCAACCCGACAAGACTGCAGGGTCCCTGATAAAATGGAACTCAGCTTTCATATTCTAGGAGCTATGGTCTCTGCTGAGTTGCAAGCAAGAAATGTCTGAACTCTGAACCAGAGAACCGCCAGAAGCTGTGTACGTTCCTGACCCTCCAATAGTCTGGGAGTCTGGCAGCACATTGGCAGGGACACGGCTGCTAATCTTCGATCGGTGGAAGAAGAGTGGTCTGAAGTCCGAATTCTATATACGATTTATCAGCAGCACAGATCAGGGCCGGCCCTCGGGCCGGAGCGCGAACTCAACGTTTTGGGAATAATTTTTCCCACAGGCTTTCCGTTCACAACCAGCCCTCCCGCCTAGGACGCCCAGGCACACCACGTGGGAGGAGTACTTGTCCGGCCGGGAAGATGTCAGCACAACTGGCTCGGGATCCTCTGAATCAAGAGGCATGACAGTTCGGCAAACCATTCTTCACCTGATAAGTGGTTGGGCGAGGCAGGCTGACTTCCGATGCGACTACAGGTGCTAGGAACACTGACTTGTGGCACTTCTCAAACGATTGACGTTTCCTGTGGGCTCCATACGTGCCATTGGCGGGAAGGCTTGACACGCGGACTCCAGAGCACCCACACTACAACCAAGTTCGCACTTTCCAAGCAAAGTCCACATATTCTTGAACTACGGCAGGAAAGCCACACTTCCACCAAGCCGCCTGTACGTTCCATTGAAGCTGTTCTCCGCCAAAGAAGTGGCGCACAAACAAGCGCAAAATATTCTTAGCTGGCAGCAATGCGGTGACTGGGGATGTGCAAGCAGCAAATATGTAAGTGTGGAACAAACCGCGTGGCGTGTTTAAAGTTTAGGCAGGAGATCCCTTTGCGTGCTGCAACCATCTTGCAACATTCAGTCTCAAAAAAGGCACACACCGCTACCCGTTCGTGTGGCTAAGCTTGTTTCAACCTTTGAGATAGGCATGCAATATGCCCCCCAGCACACATGTCCTTGAATGCATTCAATACACCAAGCTTCTATAATACTTGTGTGAGATCGATTGTACGTCGCGTCCCCATCCAGGTCAAAGTAGAGGCATCGGGGTCTGCTCTCTTCCAACACCTGCGAGAGCTTGTCGTGCAGCGCAGCAAGCTGCTCAGCCTTCCTACAATGGAAAAACCCAGCAAAGCATTCTTCACCCCCTCCCGATGGGTCTCATGAAGTGCCGTGCATCTCGGCCTCATTGAAGAGCTGGGCCCGTCCTTCTTTGTGATGATTTTCGATCTCCTCCCACAGTTCCTGTGCAGGTAGCAGTAAGAGAAGGCGCGTGGCAGGTGCGGCAAGCTGAAAACCAAGCAAGGCAATGTTGAATCCCAATTAGCGCAGGGATCGCCAATAAAGTAAAGTGTTGGAAGAAAAGGCTTCTGGACCCCCTATTCGATTTGGGGGGGTATAGACCGAGCAAGTCCTTACCGATTCGATAGGAGCCGAAGAATCCCTCTTGCTTTATTGATTTTAATAGGAGCCATAGGATCCCGCAGACCCCCAATTCGTTTTGAGGCCTTTTTATTATAGGGGCTCCCCCTTTCTGTTGGGGGGCGCCCACACTAATCAGGCTCCCATATTTAAAGGTGAATCCATCTATAATAATTTCAGAGGAGACAACTCACTGCGCATGAATAGTGGCAGCTCACTGTACCTGCCACGAACACAAATCCAAACCAAACAAGCATCACCAAACTATCCGAGGACTTGTGAGAGATCTCGGAAAAGATTCTGGGAGCGCGTTGCGTTCACGATGGAAACTGTGTGACTTCAGGGTTCAAAGCTTGCTGGAATTGGATTTCCTGAAGTTGTATGATTGTGCAAATTGTGTGACTCTTGCCTTCTGCTTTGCGAGCAGGCATGACACATGTTATGTGCGCTCCTCGTGGCTGTGGAACATGGCATACTTCATCGCTTGGCCCACAAGTCCACGGCCCTCCTCAGCTTGACTGCGGGTCTGCTGCCTTGTATTTGGGGTGTTTTGTTCTTCCCAGTGCCTTTTGGAGATTCTGGAGGATGTCTGGCTTGTTTGGGGAGTAACTGGAATTCGTTGAATTCATACGCAGGCGCTCGA